CGCGCGCGCGCGCGCGCACACATACACACCACTTCTTCCGATTGGCCCGGGCGCGCCAAGGGGGCGGGAGCAGGCTCACGCGGCGCTTCCACCCATTGGCGAGAGGAGAAAAACACGTGGCGGGGTGCGCGAGGTGCCCTCTGGGACTTGTAGTCTTCCCGCAGCGCGGCGTGAAGGGGCGGGGCGAAGTGCATTTGTGATGCTGATTGACTGAGGGTGTGCGCGGGAGGCGCGCGAGTGACGGCGCGCCGTCGGTGTCATGCGGAAGATGGCGGCGTCCAGGGGAGTTTGAGGGCTCCAGGGACGCGGTGAGAGGTTTCCGTACAGCCGGAACGTTCAGTTTGAGAGATCCCTTCGCTCTGTTTCCTGCTCTCAGGTTCCCTATCGGTGTCCTTCCAGGCCCTCGGGCGCGATGTGGAGGAGCTGCCCCCGCCTGCGGAATTGGGGGCGCCGTGCCCTGAACTGGTCCCCAGGTGGCCCCACGACCTCCATGGGGCCGGGGCCAAACACCCTGTCCCCATCCCGGGACTATGCTCCCCCAGCAGGTGAGGGAGTCCAGGGCACAGCCCCTTTGGCCAGGGGCCGAGCCGGACTAAGGTGGGCAGAGGGGTTCGGCCGTACCGGGTTGGGTAACCGAAGCAGGGATCAGGCTTGTCGGGTTACGGAGGCCAATGGGGTCCTGTTACAGATTAGGAAAGAGAAGTCCAGACCAGGGCACACACAAATCGCACACATCGCGTCACGGCATGGGACAGTAATTGACGTTTGGCAAACATGGTTTTTCTCAAAGTTTATGGCTTTCTTCTCTTTAATAAGGAAAGCAGATGTCATCCTCGTTTTTAGACAGGGAAATTCGGGTTCTGGATCAGGACTACTCCAAGATCACAGAGCAGACTCTGAGAAGTTAGTGGAGGGCAAATGTTGGCCTGGCTGACTGCTTTCTGTGTCCTAGGAGCCCGCACAGTAGGGGTCTAGAACCCAGGCATTCAGTCTCCCATCTCTTTTCCTCCATCCTACTGCCCTACCACAACCACTGCCACTCTGCTTAAGGAGTTGATCCATACCTCGTGCCTCTTCTACTTTTGACTCTGATGAGGCCTAGAAGAAGGTAATGACTCTTTCATTGCTTCTGGGGAGAGGTTTTAGGATAAGAGTGGGAGTGACTGAAATGAGTGAAGAGTAGAAACACTCTCCTTCCATTCAGTTAGTTTTTCTGTGCTGAGGACAGGAGGCACGGTGGTCTTCAAGACACAGACATGGTCCCGCCCTGGATGATGTTCATTGTCAAGTGCAGAAGGTTATATCCTGGTTTAACAGTAGCTTGTAACAACATGATAAAGGAAGTACAAGGAAGCTGTGAGACTACAAAGAAGCACCTACTCCCATCTTGGGGCTGTTCATGGTCTAGAAAGCGTTCTGAATTTTCAAAAGGACATTGAAGCTGAAAGTTGATAGATAAGTAGAAGTTCTGTGTAGAGGAGGAAGAGTACTGTGCAGCTAGAACACAACCAGGGGGACAGTGGGGCGTGAGGGGTGTTGCTGTAGTACTGCTTGCTTTAGAAAATCTAGAACCCTCCAGGCAGTTTGGCATCATGGCAGGAGTACAGATCTGAGGTCTGATGGTTGGCTGAACTGCTGAGGTGCTGTGTGACCTTGGGCCTCATTTTCCTATGTGAGTTGAAGGACTAGGTTGCCTTTGAGGTTTTTCTGTTAAGTTCTATAATTTTATACAAATGGGGAAGAGGGTTAGATGCAATAGGGATCTGAGGTTTCACCTATCAGGGCAGGTAAAGGGCCTGGTGGTGGGCCATGAAGAGCCAGTAAAGAAGGAGGAGCATCTGATAATTGTGATTTATGATAAGAAATATATGTATTTGGTCTTTGTCCTTTTCCTGGCACACACCTCTTAAAAGCCAGAAGAGCTGAGGGAGAATCTTTTGTTAAAATATTTGGTCTTTTGTCCTCAAATAACTCGAGTGATAAAGATGAAAGTCTTTTGTTATTCATAACAAGCCTCTTTCAACCACACCTGAGTTTATGTCAATGAGGTGATTTTTGGGAAAACCCCTAAGGATGGGCACTGGGTGCCAGGGGAACCAACCCAGTGATTGGAGGGTTGAAACTTTCAGCCCTACCCCCTGACGTCCCGGAAGGAGAGGGGGGCTAAAGAGTGACTTCATCACTAACGGTTTGTATGCCAACATAATGAAGCTTCCCTGAAATCCCTGAACTAGGGGTTCTAAGAGTTTGAGAGAGCTTCTGGGTTGGTGAACACGTAGAGATGCTGGGAGAGTGATGTGTCCAGAAAGGGCATGGAAGCTCCTTGCCTCTTCCCACATACCTTCCCTTATGCATCTCTTCCATGTGGCTATTCCTGAGTTGTATCCTTTTATAGTAAATTGGTAATCTAGTAAGTGAAATGTTCCCCTGAGTTCTGTGAGCTGCTGTAGCAAATTAATCAAATCTGAGGAGCCATCATGGGAACCTCCAATGGATAGCTGGTTGGGTTGGTCAGAAGCACAGGTGACAATCGGGACTTTCTATTGGAGTCTAAAGGGGTGGAGGGCAATCTTATGGGACTGAGCTCTTAACCTGTGAAATCTGATGCTAACTCCAGGTGCGTAGTGTTGAAATTTAATTGAATTGTAGGACACCCAGTGGGTGTTGCAGTTGGTTGTTGGAAAACACCCCCACACATTTGGAGCATGGAGTGTGAGCATATAAAGGAAAATGAGAGGTGTTTTTGTTATTGTTTTTCTTTACAACATCCTAGGGAGGCATAGCACAAGCAAAGCGACTCACTCAGGGGTTCACTTAAGCTGACAAAAGCAGAGGGTTAATTTAACTTAGTGGATGCCACTTCCCTTTATGGTGGTACGTCATCTGCCATATCCTTTTCCTTCCTACTGCTGACTTACTAGTTTAGGCTCTTGGAAGTACTTGGCCCATGGTAGGTAATCAAATGTAAAAGAAAATATGAATGAATGAATGAATAAAAGGATGAAGCACAGTGGGAGAGAGAGGTACATGAATCTGACCTATGAATGCTCTACAGAGGCTTTACCAGTTGTGAGACTCTGAGTCTTTGGAGTGGTGGAAGATTCAATCCAAGTGGGGCCTGGATGAAGACTTCGGTTGGCAGGCGATTGAACTTGGCCTCTTATGACTGGCCATGTCATTTGAAGGTTGTCAGAAGGAGAGAAGGGTTTCGGAAAGGGTCACTGGGGTGTTGGAGGAGATGTTCAGCAAGGAGTCCAGTTCTGTACCAGCTGCTTAGAGGGGAGGTGTTCTGGAGAGGCAGCATGTCTGACTGAGTGTGAACGCCCAGTGATGTCAAGGTTAGGAGTCTTGTCTACTCCGTTTACAAGTTGTCACTTGGACCAAGTCGTTTAGCTTTTCAGAGTCTACCACCTCAGAGGCATCACTTGCCCTATCTTCTTCATAGAGTGGTTGTGGTAGGTTAAGGGAGATTCTGTAGATAAGGCATCCAGCCTGCCACCTGTTTTTATAAAGTCAAGTTTTATTGGCACATCGCCACACTCATTCATTTTACATATTGTCTAGGGCCGCTTTCACTACAGTGACAGAGTTGACTAGTTGTAACAGAGACCAAATGGCCTGCAAAGCCTAAAATATTTACTATTTGGCTCTTTACAGCAAAAATTTGACAACCTTTGCTCTAGATGCTCGAGCAATTTGGAAAAAGTGTGTTTAGTCATTTAGCTCATTTACATTAATTGCTATGGCAGATATATTTGGCCTGAAGAATTTTTTAACAGATTCATTGAGATATAATTCATTTACAATTCACTCATTTACAGTGTATAATTAAATGGTTCTAGTATATTCACAGAGTCGTACAACCATCACTACAGTCAATAGTAAAACATTTTTATCATTCCCCTAAGAAACCCTGTGCCCTTTAACTATCACCCTCCCTTTGTCCCCTCCAGCCCTTCAGCCCTAGGCAACCACTGCCTCACTTTCTGTCTCTCTCGATTTCCCTATTTTGGACATTTCCTACGAATGGAATGTGGTCTTTTTTGACTACCTTTTTTCACTTAGAATGTTTTCAAGTTTTATCTAAGTTAGCATGTATCAGTATTCTATTCCTTTTTATTGCTGAATAATAGTCCATCATATTTATCCATTCATCTGTTGATGAACATTTGGGTTGTTTCCATCTTTTAACTATTCTGCATAATGCTGCTATAAACATTTGTATACGAGTTTTTATGCGGGCATATGTTTTCATTTCTCATATATCTAAGAGTAGAATTTCTGGATCAGATGGTAACTGTTTAAGCTTTTGAGGAACTGCCACACTGCTTTCCAAGGTGGCTGCACCATTTTACATTTCCACCAGCAGTGTATGAAGGTCCCAATTTCTCCACAATTGTCAACACTTGTTATTATCTGTCTTTTTTTTTTTTTTAAGATTTTTTTTATTGGGGAATTGGGGGGATGGAAACAGTGCTGGGGAATTGGGGGAAGGGGAACAGACAAGTTGCTGTCGTTTTGTTCTTCAATCTAGTTGTGGAGGACGTTGCTTCACTGGCCCAAGTTGGCACCATCATTGCGCTCTTCTCTGGCGAGGCAGATCAGTCCCATCATTGCGCTCTTCCCAGGTGAGGCAGATCAGTCACCGGCTTCTGGACGGCCGCTCACTGCGGCTGCTGGCCGCTCACGCTGGCTGCTGGCTACATACGGTAGCCCATGGCAGCCCACTGCCACAGGGAGTGCAGCCTACGCCGTCGCCGGCGACTCATGGCAGCCCAGCTCCAGGTTGAGCTGTTGTTCAGCATCTTGGCTGTGGAGGGCAGTGTCACTGGCCCTCATATGTGGGATCCGAACCGGGGCCCTCTGGCATCCCAAGCGAGTTCTTAACCATCGCGCCACTCGGCCGGCCCTATCTGTCTTTTTTATTAGAGACATCCTAATGAGTGTGAGGTGGTGTCTCCTGGTTTTGATTTGCATTTCCCTGATGATGAATGATGTAGAGCATGTTTTTGTGTGCTTATTGGACATTGGTACATTTTTTTTTTTTGGAGAAATAGAGATTCATATCCTTTGACCATTTTTAATTGGGTTATTTGTCTTTTTGTTATTGAGTTGTAAGGGCGCTTTATATAGTTGGCCTGAAGAATTTCGATTCAAGAAGCTGTTGGTCGGAGACACCAGAGGATTATGGATGGAGAGATGCGCCGAGAGAATTTCAGCTTTAAGGCTTAAGGCCCGCCAGATGGCGCTGTTTAAAAAGATAAAGGCGTTAGCTCTGAGAAGGTACTTCCTTTGTCCTTCGTGCACTTTGGGAGTTGTAGTTCTGAGGCTTTAGTCTTTACAAAGCAAAGGCCCGTCTGGAAATTGAGGCTGGTGGAAAGATCATTCGCTGGTCCCAAAAGCCTGGGACAGGAGTAGTAGTATAGGGAAAGTGACACCGAAAACAGCCTGTTTCTTTGTATGGATTGAAGCAACCTCACAGGAAAAGGGACCCAGTGGACATTAATTTCCAATTCAGCGCTCTTTACATGAGCAGGTTTTTTTGGTTGTCTCTGCTTATATAGCCTATTTTCTTGTGGCCAGCTTTTAATTTCAACACTTTTTTTTTTTTTAAGTTTGTATTGGGGAATTGGGGGAGGGGAACAGCATTGGGGAATTGGGGAAGGGAACAGAGAAGCCGCTGTTCTTTTTTGTTCTTCAGTCTAGTTGTGAAGGACTTCACTCCAGTGGCCCACATTGGCACCACCATTGTGCTCTTCCCGGGTGAGGCAGACTGGCCGTTGGTCACTGTACGGTTGCCTGTGGCGGTTCACGCCGGCTGCTCACGGTAGCCTATGGGAGCCCACTGCAGCTCCACTGCAATCTACACCATCGCCTCATGGCAGCCCAGCTCCAGGTCGAGCTGCCATTCACCCTCCTAGATGCAGAGGGCGCAGTGTCACTGGCCCCAATGTGGGATCCGAATTGGGGCCCTGCCGCCCAGAGCCAGCCTCCCAAGCCAACTCCCAACCAACGCGCCACTCGGCCAGCCCTCAACACTTTTTTATATACCCATTTCTTTGTGTCTATGTATTAGGTTGTCGGGAAAGTCATGATGCGTTTTTGCATTGAAAAACATAGGAAAATACGTCTTGACTTTCCTGACGACCCAATAGTACACAAAATTGTCACCTAAAAGGCACCGAGTGTGTTTTTGTCACAGAAACAGATGTTCTGGAAAGGGAGTGATTCATACTCAAAATGGTCCCAAGCTCTGTGATCCTATGTGGCTAGGCTGTTTCTTTCATTTTTAAAGATAGTATTCCTGATGAGGTCGGCTAGCCCTGTATTCATGGAAAATATGGAAGTTTCACAGGCTCCCAGTGGCCTCAAAATTTGTCTTACGTGACCCAAGACCTTTGAGGACCCAGGTGAAGAATCTTTGTCTTTTGACATTGTTTGGGAGCATGGCTCCCACCAAATGAATTTCCCAGGTCACGTTTGCCTATGCGACCTCCTACTTGGCTCCCTCTGTCAGCTCCTTACTGCGACCTATCTGGCCACCACTGCTGTCTGTGGGCATCTCTAACCATCCTCTGCTGGATGCTACAGTCTTATCTTTCTGACCGTCTTTCTCATTCTCCAAAACTCTGCTCTCTTGGGGCTCTAGACCATCATGTAAGCTGCTTGTTTTGCTGGAAACTCTTTCTTTCACATGTACCTCCTCCAAAAATAAATCCAGCAATGCAGATTGGCTCACTCCTGCCTTTTCTTGGGTCTCAGACGGAATCTGACTGCTGGGAGCTCTTCCTTTAGTGCATGAGATATGGCTTCCCCTGCATTTGCTTCAGTGTCCCTTGTCCTTTGGCTATTATGGCCACTTTATTGTTTGGCTGGTTTAGTGTCCATCTCCCAATGAGAGAATTAGTGCCTCGAGGATAGGGGTGAGCTTCGAGTCTTATTACTAGGACTCACCACACTTCCTGGAACAGGATTAGTACTCAATGAAGTTTGTTTCAGAACTTCCAAGCCTGAAGCTTGCCCTCTACCTGTCACAGCTCCATTCAAGAGAGCACCTGTCTACAACATACCAGCACACAGGCCCATCTTCCACTGAGGCCCAGCAGCCTCTGTGCTCCTTTTGCCCAGCTGTCATCTCTTCAGCATGGCTTTATCCTGTTTTGAGCAGTTTTGGTTGCCCCTTCCTTGCCCCTCCATCAATCCAACTCCCTTCCAGTGTTTTCTTCCTCTTAACAGATAAAGAAGTAGGTCTGGCCAGCACAGAGGAGCCAAGGCAAAGCAGAAAAAGACTTCCTTCATGGGAAACCCTACTGTCCTGGCAGCTTTGGATGGTTGTCTGTGCTGTCAGAGTCCATTCCTTGACCTCCAGGTCTCTTGGGCCCATTTCCCCAGGGCTGTGTCGAGCAATGTATTAGAATGTCCTCCACTGGCATTTTCTGCTGAGGGATAACCTCCCCCCCCCCCCATGAGTCAGATCTTCCTGCCTGGCTTGCCTTTAACATGCCATCCAGCCCAGGCATTGGAGAACCTCCTGGACGTAGTCTGGATGCCTCTATCCAGGCCTCCAGAACTGTGTCTCACCTGCTACCTGCGTGTACCAGGACGGCTTGTAAAGTAAGGAAATTTAAAAGCAGCAGGGTGGTGTAAACCTCCTATTTTGGCGTCAAATGTGTGAGAAAATCAGTATTATGATTTCAGACGAAGGTAGTAAGTCGTGTCATAATAATATAGCATTGTCTTGGTGGCCAGATCTGATCATTTTAAAAAAACGTTTAAACCCTATAAAGACAGGGATTTATGTCTGCTTTATCCCGAGTACCTAGAACAGGAGTTGGCACATACTAGGCACACATATTTTTGTGGGAAAACAGTTTGGGCCTTAGTTCAGTAAGTGCAACCATGGAAATGCAATTTTGAGCCCTCTGTGGGTAAGCATTAGTGGTAGCATTTATGAAAAATGATAGATTTATGAAAAAACTGATAGAATGTGGAAAACAAAAATACAATGTTTGGAGTAAGACCAGATACTCTCTTTCCGTTACTCCCTCCCTGCCCCATGCACATAAACCAAGTTCTCTTGATTTTCATAGTTTATTTGAATTAATAAAAAACTAAACCGAAGTTTGGTTTAAAAAAAATTAAAAGAAGTTAAAAAGCATTAAATACTAATGAATCTCATTTTCCTTCACATGCTGCATCGTTATTTCCAATAAATAACTTCAGTCAGGGACTCTGAGGCTTTTAGTACCTGATGAATATGTGAAGGAACAAACGGATGAATGAATGAATGAATGAATGAATGTTTTCTTTATCAGAGATGGTAAGGGCTGGGTTATGGTTTATAGCTTCTAAAATGTGACCCATTTGTTCTTTATTAGTTGAAGTTATCTGCATAATTCCTTATGCGGTGCTCTTGGTTTTTAACCCCACCAGGTAAAAGGGGGAATGTGTTTACATTTTCATATAAGATTTTATTCAAGTTATTTTTAGAAGGAAACACGGGATCCAGATTTACTCCTTATTATGGGAAATGTTTGGAGGTCCTTTTGAATATACAAGCTAGCTGGCTAGTTAGGTTAATTAATTGGTAGAGGGGATAGGAAATGCTCCTGGGATCTCTACTTGCTGCCTGTGCAGCACACATGTGCACATGCACATGCACGCTCACACTGGCTTTCCACTAATGCCTTCTCAGAGGCACTGGACTTGCCTGTAATGGGTCTCTGGCTTTATCCCATTCAGACACCATCTTTAGTTTCAGGCATGTTGTGCTGACATGGGGGTGGCACTAGTGAGGGTAGTGTGGGGGGAGCATGCTTAGAAGTTAAAGCAGAAGGTGCTGGAAAAGTCTGTTGGGTCAGACAGTCTGCGGGTTCGTGATGCCTCGGGATCACACTATTGCTGGGCTTGGGGGCTGACAGGGACCTGAACAGCATGTCCTCTTCCTTCTCCCTGGAGAGGGAATGCCCTCCTCCCTGCAGCTTTAATCAGAAGCCGTTGATTATGCTGCATAGAGTAGGGCAGACCTTGAATGGTGATAGGAAAATTAAGCCAATCAATCAGCTTTAGCTGTAATGATACAAGCTGGTCTTGTCCCTCCTTGAGCTGTCTCAACATGATTTTAAACTGCCTATTTGACAAATTTTTCTCACAGAAAGGAAGAGGTTTTATCAGAATGTCAGCATTACGCAGGGTGAAGGTAAGTATCTGAAATTTTGACTGCCTCTTTTTCTTTCTTTTTTTTTTTTTGTGAATAAGTAAAACCATTTTTAATCTCCAGCCAGTTCAGTGGTGCAACTGCCCTTTGTGCTTTTGTCGGGTATGTTCCTGTAAGTCCTCTGTGAAGAGACTCAGGGTTGTTTTTGCACCAGTTCAAATAACTAAATATAGGAGTAATCAGTCAATTCCACTTAACAATCTCTGAGAGGTTTTCACTTGATCGTTCAAGGTGGCTTTGAGATAAACCTGGACCACAGGAAGCTGAAAACTCCCCAAGCCAAGCTCTTCACTGTCCCCAGCGAGGCCCTGGCCATAGCGGTGGCTACTGAATGGGACTCCCAGCAGGACACCATCAAGTTCTACACCATGCACCTGGTAACAAGTTCACACCCCACACCATGATGCCACAGCTGGCTTCCTAGGGCTCCCAGGCAAAAGCTGCAACTGCTATCTAAGCTGCGATAAAGCTGTTGGGGTAGGGGTGGAGGGGTGTTCCAGCCACATTTGCTTCCTTGAATGTGCCAAACATTCCCTGCTGTTGCCTGGTCACCTGCAGTTCCCCTGCTGAGAGCACTGCTGGATGGCTCTTCCTTCTCTGGTCTCAGAGCATACGTCATCCCTGACTACCCAGCTGTCTTATTTCCTATCATGGCAGCCGTTCCTTTGTTTCATGAGCACTTACGCAATTTGTAATTGTCTGTTTTATGTTTGCATGGGTATTGTCTGTCTCCTTCACTGCCTTGTAAGCACAGAAGGGCAGGGCATGTCTGTCTTACTCACCAGCGCATAGCCGACCCCTAGCATAAAATTCAGTTGGCACTCAGTGAGTGTTGGTTGAGTGCAAGAACCCAAGGGGCAGGGGATGAGGTGAGGACTCTGCCCGCCATGGAGCAGCCCCCATCCACACGGGGTGACTCATTGAGGTCTAGAGCATCCTGGGGAGTGGGTCGGCTAGATTCTGTGGGCCCAGCTCTGCAGCTTCTGAATGGTAACCTTAGGCAAGTTATTGTCCCTTCTCAGCCCACATTCCCCATCTGTGAGAGGTGGGTTACAATAGCACCCACTTACAGAGTGGTGGTCAGGATGGGATGAGCCAATATGTGGAAAGGCCTGTATGTGGTTCCTGGCATGGACAGAGCCCTGAGGCAGCATAGGCGTTAGTGCTGTCAGCCTAGTCCCGGCTGTGCTCGGCCCTGACACAAACCCCCATAGCCTCCTCACCATCTTCACAGCCTGCAGCAGTGTTGGCCTGCTCCTTTGCCTGTCTGATGACATTAGGGTGACAGGACCACAGCCTCATCATTAGAGTACCTAGGCAGCCTCCCACCGACAGAGCAAATCTGGAAGGTGACCCTGCTCCTGGCTTGGCTGATTTGTTGCCCTGCTTTCTAAGGTGTTAAGGGATCCCGCAGGTAAGCTTTTCAATCAGATTTTAATTCCGGTAATGCTTATGTGTCTCTTTTACTGAATTTGACCTCTCTGGGCCTCATCTCTGAAATGAGTATAATAGTACCTATCCAAAGGCTTGTTGTGAGGATAAAATGAAATATAGCAGAGCCTGGTAGTAAAGGTTATGGGACCTTGGGAAGCTGATTAATCCTAGGGCCACTGTGCGAGTCCCATGAGTCCCCTGTGTGGTGGCACAAACTGCATTGTTGGCTCAGAGCCGCCTGTAATAAGCTCTCAGTAGAGGTGCTGCAGCAGGCTTGGGCTCGGCACTGCTGCTTGCTGGGTGCTGCCGGCCAGTTCTTCCTGTTGCTGCATGTTGGACATGGTGTCCCTAGGAGCTCAGTACTTTGCCTGGGCCCAGCAGGTGGTGACGGGCTCTCTGCCTTTTGCTTCAGACCACACTGTGCAACACGTGTCTAGACAACCCAACCCAGCGAAATAAGGACCAGCTGACCCAGGCAGCCGTGAAGTTTCTGGACACCGACACCATCTGGTAATTGACATGTACATGGGCCTTTCCCCTGGGCTAAGCAAGTCCCCTGGGCTGTTTGCCTCATTTGCCCAGACAGTTATCAGTGGAAGAAGAGGCAGGCCCTTTTCCTTCATCTCACAAGGCAGGGAAAGCAGTCTGTTTGACATCAGCGCTTAGCTACTCTGCAAACCCCTAGAAGAGAGGATTCCTCAGGCTGTAACAGTGTCGGAACACTGGGCGCTCCTCTTCTGTGGCCCAGCCGCTGTCCCTTGGTCTGGGGCAGAGTGGGGTGGTGGAATAGGCAGCTCTTGCAGGCTCCAGAACCAAGGGGGTCACTTGCCAACTGACAGTGGGGCCTCTGACCCTGGACTTCTGCCTACTGGCACATTCTCATGTAGACATCCTTATGACTACTTGTCAGCCTGGACACATAGGTGTTGACATGCAGGAGCTGGCTTCCTCCACTTCTCAATTTTCCCCTCATGTCGCGTATCATTCATTCATTCTTTCATTCATTTGTGCGTATATATAAATGTATATATTTATTATACGAGATGGCTTATGCAATTTTAGAGGCTAAGAAGTTCCATGATCTGTCATCTGCAAGCTAGCGAATTAAAGCAGATGACATAATTCAGTCCAGGTCTGAAGGTTTGACAAATATATATGAGGTGTAATAAAAAAATGTGGTGAATGTTTAAATTAAAAAATTATTACAGGGCCGGCCGAGTGGCGTGTTGGTTAAGAGCTGGCTTGGGATGCCAGCTCTGAGCAGCAGGGCCCCGGTTCGGATCCCACATGAGGGCCAGTGACACTGCNTTGGGATGCCAGCTCTGAGCAGCAGGGCCCCGGTTCGGATCCCACATGAGGGCCAGTGACACTGCCCTCTACAGCTAAAATGGTGAACAACAGCTTGACCTGGATGGAGCTGGGCTGCCGTGAGTCGCCGGTGACGGCGTAGGCTACAGCCCCTGCTACAGTGGGCTGCCGTAAGCTACTGTGAGTGTCCGGCAGTCAGTGTGAGCGTCCAGCAGCTGGTGTGAGCTGCCAAGAGCCACCGTGAGTGGCCATCCAGAGGCCAGCGAACGATCTGCCTCACCCAGGAAGAGCGCAATGATGGTGCCAACATGGGCCAGTGAAGCAACATCCTCTACAACTAGACTGAAGAACAAAAGGACAGCAACTTGTCTGTTCCCCTTCCCCTGATTCCCCAGCACTGTTCCCCTCCCCCAATTCACCCATAAAATCTTAAAAAAAAAATTATTACAGTGAAAGACACATTGCCATTAATCCCCCTCGCTTGAAACACACTTATCCCATCGTTCTTGCCACTTCCTAAAGCAGTTCTGGAAGTCCTCTTTCATGAGCGTCTTTAATTGCACTGTTGTGGCTGCCTCGATGTCCTAAATCGATTCAAATCATTTACCTTTTATGGTCATTTGAGTCTGGGGACGAGTCGGAGTTGCATGGTGCCAGATCCAGTGAATAAGATGGATGAGGACACACCGCAATGTTTTTATTTGACAGAAATTGCCGTACCAGAAGCGATGTGTGACATGGAGCGTTGTCATGATGGAAGATGAAGTAAAGACACTCATGAAAGGGAACTTCCAAGACTGCTTCAGAAAGTTGCAAGAAGAATGGAATAAGCGTGTTTGAAGTGAGGGGGAGTATTTTGAGGGGGATTAATGGTAATGTGTCTTTTGCTCTAATAATTTTTTTTTAATTTAAATATTCACCGTAGTTTTTAATCACCCCTGTATATATATGTCCATATATACATATATAAAGAGATTTATTATAAATAATTGACTCACAGGATTATGGAGACTGACAAGTCCCAAGATCTTCAGTCAGCAAGCTGGAGACCCATGAGAGCTGATGGGGTTCATGCCAGCCTGAGTGCCAGCCGGTTTGAGAACTAGAATGAGCCAGTGTTTCAGTTAGAGTCTGAAGGCAGGAAAAAAACTGATGTCCCAGCTTAAGGCATTCGGGCAGAAGCAGTTCCCTTCTCTGTGTCCCTTAGCTAATTGGTTAGTGGCATTGAAGAAACAACTGGAGTAGCTGAGCAGCACCATGTCTGCTGGTCCTGGGGCTCTGGAATCCCGAGTTACTGCACAGGTGGCATGTGAAATCAGCACTGAGGGCTGAGGAGGGCAGAGGCACCCTTGAGGAGGCAGCCAGAGGTGCTGATTTTGAATTGCTAGTTAGAAAGTTCACTCCATAGGTGTTAAGGGCCATTTGATTGCAGGGAAAAGCAACCCATTCAACCTAGCTCAGGTAAAAAGGGTTTTCTTGAAAACTATACAGGGATCCTGATGGTAAATGAGGGACGATTGGCCGCCATGGATGGGGGCTGGAAGATAGTATGCCAGGCTCCTCCCTCTGCCCTGGGAGCAAGTCTGCCCACTTGTCTGTGCAGCAGCCCAGCTTTTCCTGCACACTCACGATCTCCTGCCCTCTGCTCACACCAGACTGGCTTCCCACAGTGCCCACTTGGGTTCCTGTCCCATAAGGCCTTGCAGCTAAGCTCCCCTCAGCTCACTCTCTCTCTGTGTCTCTTAGTCACAACAAGTGGCATAGCCTGGCATCAGGTGGTGGTGGTGTCAGGCCTCCATGGCAACAGGTGGGCTCATGAAGTACAAACAGGCAACTTGGTCTGTGACCAGGGGCACAATCTCTTGGAAGGGGTGCAGGGACTGAGCTTCTGTATAGCATTCACGTTCGACATCCTATGATAAAGTTGGTGTGGCTCTGAAGGTACAGTCTTAGTGTTTAGAATGGCACCAATGTAGTGCTACAAGCCTTGACCCCTCAAATAACTGGGGACATTTAGGACAGTGGTTCTCAAACTCAAGCTTCCGTTGAATCCCTTGGAGGGCATCTCCACCCCAGAGGTTCTGCTTTCATAGGTGTGGGATGGGCCTGAGAATTTGCACTTAAACAAGTTCTCAGGTGATGCCCTGCTGCCGGCCTCAAGGCCACACTTTGAGAACCACTGCTTTAGGGGAAAGACCTGTGGGGCTGGGCAGTGGTGAAGTTCTTTTTGCTGTTGCCATTTGTGTTTTTCCCTTGTCTGTCACTGAATGAAGAAATTGTACTATTTTATTAATGAAGGTGATTTTTGCAATGAATTAGCTACAGGGTGGAAGAACCACAGACATTAGTGGAACTTCAAAAGAACGAATGGGACCCAATCATAGAATGGACCAAGAAGAGGTGAGATGCGCAGCCCCGGGGTGCTGGGCAGGCTGTTGGGGTCGTGGCCACGCTGGAAAGCAAAGCCCTTAGCTAGTGGACTTCCTGAGTCCAGAGCACCCTTGGGACTTGGCACCTCCCATGTGTTCAGGAATAGGGCCACCTTGGAAAATATGCTCCTCAACTTTGTTTCAGCCGCCATGCACCAAGCGCCTGCTATCAGTACGTATTGCGCTGAGTGTAGGGGTGAAGCCAAGCTCTGCCATGATTGGCTCTGTGGCCCTGGGCGAGTGACTTGATCTTCCTTGTCTGTGAATGGGGCTCATAATCCCTACCTCTTAGGGTGTTGTAAGGAGCAAACGGAGTGATGCTTAGCATCCCGCTCGGCACACAGGAAATGCCCACATGCTGGCAGTGGTCGTCCACGCTTTGTCACAGTTGCTAACTGTTAACACATATTATCAAATGGTGGGCCAGCCGAGTGGCGCATTGGTTAAGAGCTGGCTTGGGACGCCAGAGGGCCCCAGTTCGGATACCACATATGAGGGCCAATGACACTGGCCTCTACAGCTAAGATGCTGAACAACAGCTCAACCTGGAGCTGGGCTGCCCGTGAGTCACTGGCGATGGCGTAGGTTGCAGCCCCTGCTGCAGTGGGTTGCCATGGGCTACCGTGTGTAGCCAGCAGCCAGCATGAGCGGCTGCCCAGAGCAGCCGTCCAGAAGCCGGCAACTGATCTGCCTCACC